CAATGGAAGTATTTTTGAAGGCAACAATTCATGAAGCATTAGAAGGAATATTTGGTTTAGAATGATATTTAATACTTATAATGAATTTTAGATTTAATTAGTTAGTTTGAATAGAAACATTAAAATTAATCAACTTTTTTTCTTTATTATTTTTCTTTATTGTTATTGAGGCTATTATTATTATTACTGCTATTATAATTAGTAATTATAAGTATTGGCATTATAAATAATATTTAAATTTTATATTTTTATTTAAGGTTAAGATTATTTTATTGGTTGACTTGCTTTTAATTATTAATTTTTAGATGGGGCAAATGAGAAACCATTTCCTATACTAAATCCATTATATTATGTTTATGGTAATTTATCTACTGAAGTAGTCTTCTTCATATTAGGTAATTCTCTTTCAGCAGTATGTTAATCAGATATCTTATAATTATAAGCAGTACTCTACATTAAAACATGGCTACTTAGAAAATTAGGAACTGGTTTTATATTCTAAAATTATGAGATAAATTACTTTAGTTCTAATTTGATTGGTATGTCCAATTTAATTTTGTTATTTCTATTAACTCACAAGAGAATCTCTTTTTTAATTAACATCACTTTAAACTTGATTCTATCTACTCTCTATTTATTTAATATATTCTTATGCTTCTGGATAATCAGCAAAATAAGGATGTTTTAATGCATCCAAACAAGTAAAACGTTCTTTAGGATCCATTCTTAATAATCCTTTCACTAATCCAATAGCCTTCTAAGGTAATTTACCAAGATATCTACAATAATAATTATTTATGATTTTGTTAATACCTTCTTTCTATGGTCTCAGGTTTACCAATTTCAGGAAATTTCATACCTAAAAACCTTGGATTCTTTTGAAATACTTCCATTTGTTCCTGTGTTAAAGGACCAAGAGTCTTTTAGATCAAATATAATTAATCAGTTTCATTCTCTCCTGGAAACATAGGTTCTCCATCTGTGAGTTCACAAAGTAAACAACCTATAGCCCATAAATCTACTCCTTTTCCATATGTTTAATAATTCAATAAAAGTTCAGGAGATCTATACCATCTTGTTGCAACATAATCTGTTAAAGTGTCTGGTAAATTGAGACTCTACAAAAATTAATTAAAAAGTTTACTCTGGCAAATCCAAAATCAATAAGTTTTAAATTGTTTTCATTATCAATTAGAATATTTTCGGGTTTGATATCTCTATGAACAATATCATGATAATGAATAAATTCTATAGCTTTTAATAATTAAAATGCAATTTTCTTAAGGAATCCTTACTTACAATATTAAATGTAATACATCTAAACCATTAGGTGAGGCTTGTAACACTTCAAGTAAATTCTTCTCTACATACTCAAAAACTAAATAGATTCTCCCTTTTCTTTTACATCATTGATACAAATACCTCTTGAATGCTTCAAATAAATCAATAATATTTGGGTGTTTCAATAGTCTTAACATCTTAACTTCTCTCTAAATACTTTTTTTAACAATCTCATTATCCTCGGTCTCTTTGAACTTCTTAATAGCCACTAATAATATATATAACTGTTTACCAATCTGATTATTTTCTTTATTTACACATTTTAACACTATTCCGTAAGCTCCTTCTCCTACTACTCCTTTAACTTCATACTTATTCATTGAAACTGAATTTTTATATTATTAATATCGATATTATAAATTATATAAAAAGCAATTACTTAAAAATTATCTAAGAGTAAATTTAACAAGTTGATTTATTAAGAACGATACGATATATTAAGTAAATTTTAATTATAATCAGTTATTTAATTATATTTTTATTACAAAAATGAACAAATTTTATAATAACAAAATATAGAAAAAGATATAGAAACCATAATACATAATGAATTATCAATAATCAATTGAATTGAGTTACAAAATTAAAGTTATAATAATAAAAATCTACTTGAAAATAAACAGAATATGATTAGATTTAATTAAATCAAATTTGACTTTATTATATTATCAATTTGATTTTCATTAATATAAATTTGAAGAAGTATCTCAATTGATAAATTAAAACATATTTAATTAAGAGATAAATATTGAATTTAAACTCAAATTAAATATCGCTACAAAACTTACTATGATATATTTATCTTTTAATGCTAACCATTATAACCTATCTAAGAATTTTTTAAATCTTTTTTTAAACAAAAATATATGAAGATTATTTTACTCAAATATTCAAAGAACAAGGATTTAGCCTAATTTCAATTTTATTTAATAACATTACAGGTATTAGTAAGTAAATTAGGCAAAATTCAGAAAAATTAAGAGATTTATATATTAAATTTCAAATAGAATTGAAGTTCGTGGATTGCTTATATTAAATCCTGTATTTAATTTTTTTTAAATAATAGTTTGAGTAGTTATTATTTGATTGAAAAAAATTATTTTAAGTTGTAATTAGTCAAAGATTCACAAAATTTCTGGATTATTATCTAGAATGTTCTCCACGTTTTTATTATTTCAATTTTAAAGGTGAATATAATAATTCATTGCTAATTTTAATTTGTTTTGCAGTAGTTGGTTCCTAGAATTTTATAATAATATTACTTTATTAAATGAATTATCTAAGAGATTTGGATCTAGTAAAGCCTTTTAAAAATTGTCAATTACATGTTTTTGAGTTGGGACCATAAGACTCTTTTTAAATTAGGATGTATTAAGTAGCTTAATTTTAGAAATATAATTATCTATTTCATTCATTTATTTTTTTTCAATAATAAACCATTTTACATCCCTAACTGATTCAGAATTGAGAGCAAATGAAGATCTCATTTCATAAAATATCGTCAATTTTTTTGTGATATCTTTCATTATTAAGATTAATTCATAAAATTAAAGAGCTAAATTTGATTTTATTTTTTATACATTCTTTAATTTGATATTATGAATAACAATCAAGCATATCAGTAATCTCATTTCTTAAGAAAGCATATTATACTAAACAATCTTTATAAATTAAATATGCTATATCTCGAATGATTAAAGTATTTTATGTCTTATTTTTAAAATTAAATTGGAAATATGGGATGAAGCTTAATTTAAAATTAAGTAGATTGATAATTTTGAATAACCAAAGAAATTAAAGTTTACGGTTATGTGTATCATCTTAGTAAGGATATTGTTAAAATCTACAAGAACTATAAATATCATTATTTTATGCTATTCTTTGAATATAATTAAAGTATATATTCATAAATCCTTATTCATTTTAATTTATCAGTTCAAATAACTAAATTTACTAAAAAATATGAATAATTTATTGATTTACATCAGCAACATTGACAAACATAGAATTTTGCTATGATATCAAATTGATTTTCTAATCATATATATTTTGAGTTGTTTAATTAACATGTTAAGTAACCATAGTTTTTGTTTATGTAGTCTGTAATGTTTGTTTACATTAGTCATGTTGATGGGTTTCAAAATATTTGAGTATCATATCTATTGCTTATGTATAATCACTGCTTAAAATGACATGGAAACTATAACATCTCTTATATTATTCATTTATTGTTTCTGGCTAATACTTTAGAATTTCTTCTAATTTTTTTAAATCTTTAGATAATATTTTAATATCTTATAGTCTAACTTGAGTGAACTGAGAATCAAGTATAGAAGATCCAACAGCTTTCTTTTGAACAATCTTTTTTTACTATGGACTCGATTAGTGAAATAGAGACTTTATAAAATTCATTTATTAATTTAAAGAGATATCAATTTGAGAAGAGATAAAGACTTTAAAGAAATAGAACTTTTAAAAACTATTAATATATTTATTGATCTTTATATGATCATTTTTAGATTGATATTGTAATTAAAAATGATAATTAGACTATATAGGTTCAAATTAAAATTCAATTTACAGCAAAACATAAAATCATAATGTTGAATTGTATACAACAGATCCTCTATATATGTCTATTGGATCTGCAGTTAAAATACTATTATTCCTTTCGTAAACATAGGATTGAGAAGAAACTCTCTTGCTAATCATGAATAGAACAAAATCCAGAAATCCTTATGAACATGCACATAGATAACTTATTCTTCCAAACCATAAGAAGTTTCTTTTCCATATAATATTAAAAAGTGAACTTATGATAATTGGAAGCCAACAGAAAAGATGAACAAGGGTATAATATAAAAGGAATCTTGTGTATTATTCTCCTACAGTAATCTGACTATTTTATGTAATTAAAGTTCTTCTATTGATTCTAAAATCATCAAGACCTAATTTATTTGATTAGATTTCTTTGAGAAAGTTTTGTATTTTCAAAAGGAAAAATAGACTTGCTCCAAATAGAAATCCAAAAGGAACATAAAATAAAAAGAATTCCCCTACCCAATAAGCATTTTCAGTTTTAAAACTACATATATTATATTATATTCCATATCCATTATAAGTAATAGGAACAAGAGCAATCAAAAAAGGAAATAGAATTGAAAATATTTTAGAATTCCTTTTATATTTGTAATATTTATCTTCTGTTATATCTATGTTTTTCACTATTGTGAGATAAGTAGTTAAGCAAAAGAAAAAATTAACAATAAATGTGGAAACACTTGAGGATTATTTAAATAGAGCTTGAATTGCGCAAAAAGCCCCATCATTCTCTAATTTATATTTCATTGAGTACATGCGATAGGATTAACGATTACTGCAATGACATATATTGCATCACTTATAGACAAAATAGCTAATAATTTTGCTGCTAGATTGGCATTAAATCTCTATTTAAAATAATCAAATAACAAGACTGAACATCCAATCAAAGATAAAACCGAAATTATTATTAGTAATGTTAAATATAGAGTGCTTCCAATTTCTTGCATTTTTCTTAACTTTATAGAAATAAATTAAAGAATTATATAAGTATTTATATGATATAATATATATTTAATTAGATAATCTAATATATCATAAAAACCTAAGAGTAATAATCAATATTCTAATAGTATCTTGTTTTAATTATTCTAGTTATTCTAATTTCTTATTCCTTAAAATTAATTTTTGGATTGAACAAATAACTTTGATAATGGACTACTTTATCTACTTAATAATGGTGTATAATTTTTTGAATATCTTTCTATTAAGGTATGTTTTTATTTTTCGGATATAGTTCTATTTCTACCTCTTTTATTATGTGTTTTTATTTTATCATTATCATGTAAATTAAGAAAATTAATTCTTTCAATTTATTCAGTTGTACTTTTTTTTCTTAAGGTGATAAGATTATTTTTAAATTTAGATTGTTTAATGATAAAATCTTAGAGATCTGGTGTTTTATTTTCAATTTTTCTATCTTAAACAGAGTATGTATTTTATCTGACTTAATCATTAAGAGAATTAGGGATTCTTTTAGAACGATTATTAATTTTATTTAAATTAATTGAAATTCCTGTAAGATCATTAGTAAATTATTCTAAATCTTTTAATTGTACTCTATTATTAGATAATGGCTATCTTTATTATATTGATGTAGTAAATTTACCTCTGCTATTAGAGCGAGCAGTTTAATTCTACATTTAATTAATTTATTTAGTTTAGAGTGTCTATTGTAATTAATTTTATGGTTTTTATTTTCTTTGACATAGATGATTAATATATTAATTACATGCTTTTTTCTTCAATAACCAAAATAGAGTAGTGAGAGAATTATGTTTATTTTCTTTGACTAGATCATAAATGATATTGATATCATATCCTAATTCTAATAACATTTTTAAAGCTTATGTGTCATTATTAGTAATTACTTGATCTAGTTAGATTGTAACAGATTTAAAAAACTAATGTTATTTAATTCCATCAAATCCTATCCTAATTTATGGATCTTTAATCAACAATTTTTTTAATAGATCTTGAGCAATATATGAAACATTTTTAGGTTCCTCATAATTTTCATACTTAATCATTTCATAGAGTTTCCTTGTATTTTCATGTTCAAAAGGTAAAAAGCCACACAACATAACATATAAAATAATCCCACAACTCCATATATCACTCTTTTCACCTAGGTAAGGTTTTCCATCTATGAAAATTACAATTTTTTTTATACGTAACATTTCAGGTGGTGCATAACATGGAGATCCACAAGCAGTTTTAAGATATTCATTATTCTTATATAAGTTACTGAGTCCAAAATCAGCAACTTTCAAATTTCTTGATTCATCAAATAAAAGATTCTCAGGCTTTAAGTCTCGATGAGCAATTTTTTATTAATGTAAATACTCTACAGCATTTATTAATTAAAAAAATAGACGTGCTGCCATTGGTTCTGGTAATCTAATAAAATACATAATATATTGAACTGATGCTTTTTTACAATATAATCAAAGAGTTCTCCTCCCTTTGCATATTCCATAACCAAATAAAGATTTTCATCTGATTCTAAAATCTATTATTAAGATTACTTATACCTCATACAATTTTATTATATTTTCATGATTCACTTTCCTTAAAATTGAAATTTCCCTTTAAACTCTTGTAGCATCAGCATTATTTTCTATCTTTTTCTTTTAAAGTATCTTAACAGCAACCTTTTATAAAGGAATATATCATCTACATATTCTTTGCAAATTGTATGATAACCTAATTTCACTTTTCCAAATGTTCCTCTTCCAATAGTCCGATCTCTAAAATCATTATTCTAATACCTAAGATGTAATTTTGCACTTTTTGGGATTACTCACTATTAGCCATTTAGACCCCCTCCTAATAAATAATACTATTTTATTATTTAAATACTATACCCCATATGTCGATTACCTCATTATTAAAATTTTAATGGATTCACCTGTAGAATCTTATAAAAATGGTAATTATGAACAAGTCCTTCAACTCTTGGACTCCTAACCAAACAAGCTAATTGAGTGCAAGACTCTACTCAAATTACACTAAATGAAAAGTACAATACCAATGGGATCATGCATTTCTAAATCCCCTTCAGATACACTCCAAAAAGCACAAACACTTTCAAATGAACTCTAAGGTTAAGACAAAGACTTAATATAAACTATTCTTGATTATTTGTTAGATAAAGATATCAAATTAGGAGGTTCAGATGAACAGAAGTTCTATTTTGGACTTCGACAATTAGAACTTTAAGAATATGAAGAGGCACTAAAAATATTGAATTCTTTAGGTGAACTTGATAACAAAGATGATCATAAACATAAACTTTAAGCCATAGCTGAATGTTAGATTAACTTAAATCAATACCAAAAAGCAATTAAAACTTTAGAACATGCAGGTGAAAATAGTTATTGCTATGCTTTATTATCAGAATGTTATTTCAAATTGAATTAATAATAATAAGGAATATAATGGATGAAAGAAGCATTGAAAATTAATTAAGGTTGCTTTTATGCATTAAATAATTAAGCTAAAAATGATAATATTGATTAATAAATTAAAGTAATCAATCAATTTTTAGACAAAGATCCAACTAATTCTAGATTGATAAGAGAGCATATCAATGCATTAATCATTAAAGGAAGTGATTAAGTAATTAAATCAATGGGAGAATATGCATGCAGACCAAGAGGAGAGTTTATGAATAAATTATAAGAATAAGTTGAAAAATTACCTAAATGTAATTCAACTTAATATCTGCAAGCATTAATCCATTACTTTAATTATAAGAATAATGAAGCACTAGCTACATTTGAATAATGTGTTCAAAATAATTATAAAATTTTTGATTCTAAATTTTATATAGCTTTAATTCATAAAGATTAATTCAAATACAAAGAAGCTGTCTTAGAATTCAAGAAATTAAGTTAAGAAGTTACAGGATAATTAAAAGATGATTGTCATTTTTGGAGAGTAGTTATGTATATTGAATTAAATGAATTGGATCAAGCTTTAAAAGAATTAGAGTATGTTCAACCTAATGCTCAAAATTATACATTAATTAGTAGATTATATTACTAAAAAGGAAATAAGGTTTAAGCAGATACATGGTTAAAAGAAGCATTAAAATTAAATACTAATTGTTTTTATGCTAAAGTAGAGAAGGGTACATAAGATGCCAAATATGATTGCATATTATTATTAGAACAACTTATCAAAAATGATCCTTATAATATGTGTGCTAAATAGGCATTAGTTAAATACTTGATCATTCATTCTGAGAATTCAATCGCTTATGCTTGGGGAGAATACTCATGTAAACCTAAAGGAAAGGAAATTTAAAGAGCAGTTGAGTTAATTTAATAAATTAAATAAGTAAGAGATTGTGTTTAATTGGAATATTTCGATGCTATTTGTAAATATTATTTGAATGACTTAAAATAATCAGAACAATTATTTAATTATTGTATTGAATAGAATCATTAATATTGGACTTGTTAATATTTCTTAAGTTTGATTAAAAAAGATCAGATGAAATATAAAGAATGTCTTGAACTATCTTTATAAGTTTTAAATCACATTGATGAATTCAAATAATAATGTCATGCAAATAGAGCTTGGATATTCATTCAATAAAATTAACCAGACAAAGCCATTAAGGAATTAGAAAAGAGTACTCATGGATGTTAATATTATGTATTATTGGGTTAAGCATATATTATGAAAGGAAATAGTGTATAAGCAAATACATGGTTTAATGAATCATTGAAAGTCAATCCTAATTGTCTCTATGCTAAAATTAATAAGGCTATTCTAGAATAAAGATAGGATGAGATCCTTAAATTATTAGATGGTGCATAAAAATCTGATCCAGATAATTATGTTATTACTTGGTATAGAGGAAAAGTCTTATTTAGATTAAATAAATTTGATTAAGCAATTTAATTGTTTGAATAATCTATTAACAATAGATATGTAATGGCTTATGCATCTAAAGCAAAAGTTCTTAGAGCTTAATAAAAGTATGAAGAAGCATTAAAAACTATTGAATAAGGTTTAATAATTGATGATTAATTACCTCCCTTATTTATAGTCAAAGCTAGTATTTTGTATGATTAAAAAAAGTATGAAGAATCAATTTAGATATGCAATTTAATTAAAGATGATTAGAATGTTTATGCTCTTAGATTAAAAGCCTTGTGTTTGAGATAGTTGGATAGAAAAGATGAAGCATTGAAATTGTATGATTAAATATTGTAGATTGATAAATTTAATATTTAATCATTTATAGGCAAGGCTTAAATTATTAAAGAGAATAGTGATATTTATGATTTAATTTAATAATTGAGTGATATTGTGATTCATAAGAAAATGTATAAAGCAACTATAAATCCTATAGTTGTTCATAATTGTTAGGATTTAATAAAATTGAATTAGGAATTTGAGAATAGAGGAGGAGTGATTCAAAAAGTAATTGCACATGGATAAAATTTAGATAAATAGAAATAGGAATTTGAATAATTGTGTAAATAAAAAGAGGAATTATGTGATGAAAAGATAAATTGTATAATGAATCCAATATGTCATGTTAAAGTTGATTCTACTGAAGATATATTAAAGAAATTGAACATTTTATATAAGTAAATGTCAGAAATATAATAAAAATAACAAACATTATTTTATGAATAATAACTGAATAATAAAACATTTTAGGAGTGTTCAATTGAGGAATAGAAAATTTGGGATTCAATAAACAAAGAAAATCTAATTAAGTAAGTTTAATAATGGAATTAAGAAAAACAATAAAATGATTAGAATAAATATAATTACTCTTTAGTATTCTACAATTTAATGATTAATCATTTGAATTCTTATGGGGAAGTGTAGAATGATAAAATTAATAAAAATGAAGATATATATAAAATGTTATCTTTGGGAAATAGTTTTGTTATATTAGATGATATAATTGATAATTCATTCACAATGATTAAAATGATCAAGTATGATAATAGAATGAAATCTGTGTTAAAAGTAATAAAAGAAAATTAATTAACAAATAAATGCGATAATAATATATAATTGATAATTGCATTATGTGCTTAAAAGTGTGCTGATCAAATTGATTTTACAAAAGAATCATAATAAATATAATCACATGCCTTTAAATACTAAAACAAGTTTTTAAAAGATTAAATTGAAGAGTATGTGAATAAATCATAAATCCCTGAATTATAATTATTGAGTGGAAAATATGCAATAAAAGATGTAATAATAGTGATTTGTTATATACAACATAATTTCATTGCTCTAATCAATAAATCAAAATAAGTGCCACTTCATGATCAAATATCAGAAATAAGAAATAAACATTTTGAATTAACAACTGAGAGTCATCCAGTTCATTAAAAAATTAATGAATTCAATTCAAATTATACCATAAAGGATTACAAAGTAAACCCTATGAGAGACAAATAATAAGGGGATGATGGATGTTGTACAATAATGTGAAAAAGAGATATGAAACATATATATCTAGATTATGTGCAAATAATTTAAATCACTTGCGTGCCTTACGTCTCTTTCTCTTGAGTCTTCGCATTCTCTTCTTTCTCCACTTTTCTCTCATTTTTAATTTATTTTTAATATTAATATATAAAGAAGATTTAAATAAATTTAAAAATTCTCACAATTAATTTAATAAACAAAATCATTCTAATATAATTTATGTTTATTCAGTTCCATCTTTCATTTTAAAAACATATGTAATCTATTTCATTTTGACTCCATTTTGAGTAATTTATTTAATTTTCTTAATAATTTTGATACATCCAGCAGGTTTAACCACTTTATTTTGAGTTTATTTATCATTATTTGATTCATCTTATTCTTATTATTATTCATCTTATTATTCTAATTAATCTTCTTCTTTCTACTATTATTCTAATATTTATTAAAAATCATTCGATTCTACAGCACCAACTTCAATACAATCATCACCTTAAACATTTCCTTCTTTAATTTATACGTTTTAATCTGTATCTTCTTATTCTTGATCATCCAAATTAACTTTTTCAACCTCATCAATTAATTCATTTTCTTATTACTCCAGTTTCTATTTATTTTGCTTTTTCTGACCCTTCATAATAAACTTCTTTGAATAATCCATAACAGCAATGTATTTGAATTTAATGTGTTCACCAACATAAACTCCTACCAATTTGTAATCCTTATCAAAAACATTATGTCTATGTCCTCTATCTGGTTTTCCATCATCAACTATAAGTTACAACAATACTTTATTAATTTCACAATTAATTACCTTCCTATCCTGTTAATTTACCATAACTAATATTCTATCCAGCAGGTCCAGGTTTCCATAATCCATATCGACTAATTCTTTTGGAAGTATTGGATCCATCAGAGCCTGTATGACCAGTTATCCCATTCTTACCTAAGATAAATTTGACATACACAATTACCTAAATCAATTCCATGATCTCTAGCTGATAATTCTAATCCTTTCTCATATTGAAATGGAGGCAAAGGAGGTTAAGTTTTTAAAAAGTCAATACATTCTTAAACACAAGGAGCTCCTTCCTTGTATTAAAGTGGTTTCTAACCAGGCATATGCAAGATATTCCCTTTAAAATATTTCAATCTTGCTTCTAATGGTGGTATGGCAATAGTAGGATCCATTCGCAATTAATTCTAGTATTCAAATACTTCCTAAGCTATTTTTTCAAAATCCATAAAAAATATAATTAATGTATTTAAATAGAATAGGAAAAGTAACAATAAAGTAACCATCCGAAAAGAAATAATAGTTGATAATATCAATAGATATAATTTTGAGAAGTAAGTCATTTATACCAATAATTAATTCCTCCAAATACAAGTATATAAAATAAAAGTACTTAATTATAATCAAATTATTAATCTAGTATTTTAATTAAGAATAAATTAAATAGAATATCTAAGTAATTTAATTGATAATAGTGAAATAATAGTATTAGTTAAGATTGATGTGGAATAGATTTCAATTTTCTGTTTTGATCAAAATATCACACTAAACCACCTATATATATTAAACCCTTATTAATCAAACATAACATAGATAATCAAAATAAAATTAGAAGATAATGAAATCACAGTAATCATTTTCAACTTGATCTGAAATTTTAAGATCTCTAAATCAGTAAAGAATGCCTTCTCATAGTACTAATAGTATCAATTATGAATCTAAAATTAGCAAGTTTTTAATATATAAAAAAATATTTTAGATTCTTTAGTAAGAAAATACCATTTAACAGAATTGAATGTTATTGTATTTTAGTCAATTTAAATGACAAATCTTTAAGAATTAGAAATTTATTATAATGTTATTTAATTTATATTGGATGAGTTTTCAGAATCTTTAGGTTTTTATGTTCAATTTCTTTTGATATAAGTATTCATTATTTACAAATAATTTAATGTATTTTAATTAAAATGGGGGCACTTTTAGATGGAAATAAATATGTTCACGTATTACTTCTTGGAACATAAGATGTTGGAAAAACCAAATTCTTATATGAAGGCTTGCTTCAAAATAGTAATCAAAAATTTTATCCATTAAGAATACAAAGATCCTCCTTATAAACCAACAGAAGGTTATAACATGGAATGTATGAAATATGAATAAACCACATATGCATTATGGGATCTGGCAGCTTCACCAGAAGTAAATTAAAATTAAATCTAGTTCATGACTCTTTGGCATGTGTTTTATTAGTTCATTCCATTTAAAGTTACGATCTTTGTTGTTAGAGTCATTAAAGGAACAAAAGCTTAAAGATCTAAACATTATGATAGTATAGGTTAATCAAGATAATTGTTACATCGTCTAATGACTCTAGAAGTATTTTAAACAAAACCTCTTCTTCTTATAGTGAATGTAAAATTTAATTAAATTCTAGATCGAAAAAGATCAAAGTAGTTAACAAGGTGATAAATAAGATGCACTTAATGAAGCTAAGGCTTGTTTAAATTGGGATGATATCAAAGTTAGAGACAAATAAGCTATTGTGCTTGATGTACATGCCTATTTAGATCATGAATAAGTTTTGATGGCAATGGATAAAATGTATAAAAAAGCAGAAGAAGAAGATAATAATAAAAAAGATTGATTCAATTATTATTATATTACATTAGTTTATATTATATTAGATAAAACTATGAAATCTATAAATATTGTTATTTCCTTTAAACTAATTTATATTAAATTATCAGTTCTTTAATTATTTAATATAATTATTCAATTCTAATAAATATTGCTGTAATTTAAATTTTATACTATTAGATTCAAATTAACCAACATATTATTATATAATTTCTTGGAAATCCTTATTACTTCCTAATTATTATAATTTCTTTTTGAATCTTTCTCTGTTTTCATAAATAAGTTTACATTATTCATATAATAATAATGGCCAAGCAAGACCTTCTTTTCTCACATATTTTTCAGTATCTATTGTCTTTAATAATTCTACATTTATATATCTATCATCAGTCATAGTAAGATCATAATTTTGTTTTACAAATTCAATGAACTTTTTTTTTAATGTTAATTTTCTAGTAGATTCTATTCTATAATGAATTAATAATCTATGACATCCCATTTTTAGAAATTAAAACATATCTGGAAATGGAATTTAATTTTGTATTAAATTTTGAATGAATTTAAAAAATATAGGATTTATTATTCCATATTAAATTAATTATTTTTCATAAATTGATCTCTAATAATTTATCTATTAATAATTATTTTATTCTTCTAAACTTTATTTTTAATATGTTATAATAGGTTAATTATTAAGTTTTTTATCAATCTTAATTTATATTTAATAAAGTAAATATCCTATTTCTAACATATTATTCTTCAAAAACTTTTATTAAGCATTCTAAAATGTTATTATACCAGCTTCAATCTTCGAAAAATATTTACCACAAATTTTATAAATCTTTTTTAATACAATTTAAACATTACTATCTTCCATTGTAGCACATATCTATTCATAATTTTCATCAAATTTTTTTAACAATAATTCTAATGAAGATTTGATAACCTAATTGAATTTTATGTATTCATATTCTGGGAAATGTTATTTGATAGCTTATTTAACTGCCCTTATACTTGATTCATCATAGTAAGATAATGATGAATTTATTTTTAATAATTCTGCATCTTATTTAATTTTGACCATCAAACTAATTTAAAATATCAATTATTAAGAGATATATACTTTTATAAAACCTTTTCTATCTTCCATATGTTATTATTTACAAACATAACTAATTTTAAAAAGTTTAATTATATCTGGCAAAGCAATTTCTTATTTTAACAATAATAATAACAATATTTTAAATATTAAATATTTACCATTTTCTTATGCACTAACAATATTGTCTGTTTGTTTTTCCATTTATTAATTTTAATTATTATGTCCAATTGGTTTCATTATTGTGATTTAATCTTAAAATTAATTTACTCTTTTCTTAATATTTTAAATTAATTCTATTATTTTTTATCCATTCTTTGAAAATTTCTATTTATTAATCTAATTCGTAATATTATAAATTGAATCTAATTGTTAATTATTTTTCAATTCTAATTAATTTTCTTCCATCATTCCTTCATATAAATAATTTAAGGTGATTTATATTAATAGTTCTTCTGAATTCATTAATAGTTCTTTATAATAGTAATCTATCTGTTAACATTTTTAATCTTATTTAATCAAAGTTTTCAATTGTTATTCAATATTGAGACTACATTACAATAGTATTTTGTTTTCTTTGAATTAAATAAAACCAAAAATTTAAGGTACTTATGTTCCTTATGCAAACAATTCAATTAATAGACTTTTTATTTTTTATTTCATTAGTAAATTGAAAGGATTGTTTAGTATTTCATCTATTTTGAATAAAAATAGTTGAACTTTATGAATTGGATTTTCTTGGAAATCATAATAAAGTTCATTTTTATCAGTTTAACATAATTCCCAAAATTCCTTTAAATCTTTATCCATGATATCTTTAGTTAATGAATACAATTCTGTTTATTCTAATAATTTGTATAACATTTAAGTTTTTGAATGAGATTTAGAGTTCTTTAACTATGAAAACATTTTATTAGTTGATTAAAAGAAAGCAAAAGATAATGGTCATAAATTTTGGTATATTTTTCCTTCTTTTAATTTTACATAATGTATTTAATAATAAATAAAATGATTTTGAAAAAAAATGCAAAATATGAATCAAGAAGACAAATGTTATATGAACTATCTAAAAAAGAAGAACTTTAAGAATTAACTTAAAATGTCTTAGATGATATGGAAGATCTTTAATATCTATATAAATCATATTCATAGAATTATTTTGATAAAAAAACTGTTGAAATTCTGGGAGATGATCCAATATTAAAAGGATAAAAATTAATGAATATGATTTTAAATAGAGATAATTATAATTACAAAGAGAGAATAAGAAAATCTTTAATAAACTTGCATTGTACAAATTCAATATTTCCTGAAATAATTCACTTTTTAAGAGTAGATAATTAAAGTATAGAAATAAAATATTGCAATGAACTAGAAAGAGAGTTATTAAAGTATGATTAAGAGAAATTAGAAAGAACAGAAGCTTATAATCAGATAGAAGAAAGTTCAGATCAAACCTTAATTTTAATACATTTAATGTGTTTAAAACATAGAATAACAAATTAATAAGATTTTTTATCATATTTTAATACATCTAAGGATTATTAAACAATTAAAGAACTATATGCTAAATGTTAAGAATTATTATAGTTTAATTATTTAGAGAAGAATACATAATCTATAATAAATATAGTTTCAGACTTTTATTAATTATTTTCTACATATTGTTAAATGATTAAACCTAAATAAGAAAAATGTACAACACTAATATTTAGAGTTTTATTGTAATTATTGTTGTATTAGAATATAATTATACCAGAATTACTTAGATTTATGAAGATAATTAGAAATAGTTAAGTTTATAATGTTTAGTATAGTTTTGGAATGATTGTACTTAAACCTACTGTAAAACTATTGGCATAAATGAGTTAAATTCCATAAATCAGTAATTAGGTTGAATTATTAAAAATCAAAAAGATAAATTTAACTTCTAATTTACCTAAGTATGAACACTTTTATAGATAAGTTTTAATACATTTTCCTAATATTTTGTCAATAGATACTAATTAAGTTATTGTAAATTATTTAGAGAAACTAACTTAAAATTATCATAAACATATTGTTGTTCTTGAAGAAATCTATTTGAGTACAGAATTTTAATAAATGATGGATACGATTGATAAAATATGTGGTGTATAGATTAAATTAATAATGAATTAAGATGTAAATTCTGAGGATGAATTTGAAGAATATGGAACAAATGTTTTAAAGATAGGAACTATATTATTTCGATTAAAAGAGAAGATATTTTTTAATAATAATTCAACAAAACTAAAATAAATTAATGATCTTATACAAAAATTTAAGAAATTCTTATAATATGAATCAGAACATGAAAGATCCTTTCCTCAATTATTAAAATATATTAATTGTAACAATAATGATTTATAGATTGATATTACTGATAATTATGATTAAGAATTATTGGAAAATACAAGATTTTAAGAATTTTTGCATCTATTAGATAATAATTAAATTAAAATTGATTATGATAAAGGAGAAACTGAAAATGAAATCCTATTTAATTAAATTAAGTTAATTTATCAACAAAGAGAATAAAATTTAGATTAATTGAATTAATTAAATGGGAATCAACGTTGTGATTAATTAATGAAGGATTTATAGAAAAATGAATTATAACATAAAGAATATTTGGTGAAACTTTTAGTTTGCATATAATACTAAATATATTTATGAATTGTTTAATTATATAAATTATTATATAAGTATATAAATTATTTTATAAGTAAATCATAATAATTGACGCAGTAATATATTAATAATTCTAATTATAACACTCATTTTTTATTGATACATGGAAAATTAAGTTAACAATAGCCTAATAGATAATGATATACAATAGAGCTGTAATCAATTATTCTTATTACAAAGTCTAAAACTTTCAAATTCTCAATTAAAACAAAATTGAGTAGCCAGCTTCTTTATTTGACTTAGGGAAAGAGTAATTTCAATAATAACACAAATTCCTAGCTGCATTCTCACTACTAAAATTTGTAGCGGCAACTATTATTGTATATTCAGCATTAAAAAAAATAGATTATATTGAGACAAACAATATTCTCAAATGAATAGCCAATCAAATAATACAACCATCTTTTTGATGTTGCTTACCTTGAAATATGGATTTATCTATCATGTAATTTACATTAACATCTTAGGTTCACATAGTTTCTTTGCATTCATCTATTATATTAAACTACTAAGACTGATTGATGATTCTATACAATCTTAAAAGGTGGCTAAAGAGATGGGATATTTGATAGAATTTTATATTCCTAATAGCTTTTCAGATTAATAAATGTAAAACTACATAGATGAATAAATAAAAATATAAAATCAAGAAATATTTATACGATAAAGAATAAATGGTTAGGAGAATGATTCAAGAAGATTTAACTAGATATCAAATGAAATAAAAGTATAATTCATTAATAAAAAAGAAAACTTTATTGAAAAATAATTTATATTTAAATCTACATGGAAAAAGCTGTTTTATTGCTTTCTAATTCATCTAATTATGGTGTATTATTTTTTATTTCTATTCATAATCTAATAAGAATTAAGGTGAAATGTATAAATTTATTACAATGTACAAAGGATATATATTCTCAGTAAACATAAATCCTATTTATCTAGGTTGTTTTTATTGGAGTGTATTAATATTTACAAATTTACATTATGGTATTATTAGTAATCATTTTTTTGCCTATTCTTCTAATTTACAGTTTATACAATTGGTTAAATAAACACTTTAATAAGAAATATAAATAGGTAAAAATAGATGATTCCTTATAAGAAGCCTTATTTAGTTCATTAGAAATTGTAGATGGTATTTATAATTAATAATTAATAATTAGACAAAGAATGTTCAATATGTATGACTTAATTTTTAGATTAACAATATATAGTCATACTCCCTTGTTCATCAACTCACAGATTTCATTCCTCTTGTATAAGATCTTGGCTATAAGTTAATAATAAATGTCCTTTGTGCAGAAGTGAAGTAACCATTTATTCAGAGGATAACTTATGATATATTTAATAATTTTTATTTTTTTTATATTAATTTGTAAAGATAACTAAAAACCTTTTATTAGATTGTTTAATTTCATATTAATCATTTATTAATGAAATTTCTAAGGTATTACTTTATATTTTTATAATAATTACTTAAATTATTATTTAAGTTAAAATGATAAATTTAAAAGAAGAATAACGAATTGAAAAAATAAAGTTGGTGAATATTTTTGGATAACATTTTAAATATACACTTATTCTATTAATTATAAATACATTAATAAGATCATAAGGAAGTGAGTCATTTTATATAACAATTANCAGCATTAAAAAAAATAGATTATATTGAGACAAACAATATTCTCAAATGAATAGCCAATCAAATAATACAACCATCTTTTTGATGTTGCTTACCTTGAAATATGGATTTATCTATCATGTAATTTACATTAACATCTTAGGTTCACATAGTTTCTTTGCATTCATCTATTATATTAAACTACTAAGACTGATTGATGATTCTATACAATCTTAAAAGGTGGCTAAAGAGATGGGATATTTGATAGAATTTTATATTCCTAATAGCTTTTCAGATTAATAAATGTAAAACTACATAGATGAATAAATAAAAATATAAAATCAAGAAATATTTATACGATAAAGAATAAATGGTTAGGAGAATGATTCAAGAAGATTTAACTAGATATCAAATGAAATAAAAGTATAATTCATTAATAAAAAAGAAAACTTTATTGAAAAATAATTTATATTTAAATCTACATGGAAAAAGCTGTTTTATTGCTTTCTAATTCATCTAATTATGGTGTATTATTTTTTATTTCTATTCATAATCTAATAAGAATTAAGGTGAAATGTATAAATTTATTACAATGTACAAAGGATATATATTCTCAGTAAACATAAATCCTATTTATCTAGGTTGTTTTTATTGGAGTGTATTAATATTTACAAATTTACATTATGGTATTATTAGTAATCATTTTTTTGCCTATTCTTCTAATTTACAGTTTATACAATTGGTTAAATAAACACTTTAATAAGAAATATAAATAGGTAAAAATAGATGATTCCTTATAAGAAGCCTTATTTAGTTCATTAGAAATTGTAGATGGTATTTATAATTAATAATTAATAATTAGACAAAGAATGTTCAATATGTATGACTTAATTTTTAGATTAACAATATATAGTCATACTCCCTTGTTCATCAACTCACAGATTTCATTCCTCTTGTATAAGATCTTGGCTATAAGTTAATAATAAATGTCCTTTGTGCAGAAGTGAAGTAACCATTTATTCAGAGGATAACTTATGATATATTTAATAATTTTTATTTTTTTTATATTAATTTGTAAAGATAACTAAAAACCTTTTATTAGATTGTTTAATTTCATATTAATCATTTATTAATGAAATTTCTAAGGTATTACTTTATATTTTTATAATAATTACTTAAATTATTATTTAAGTTAAAATGATAAATTTAAAAGAAGAATAACGAATTGAAAAAATAAAGTTGGTGAATATTTTTGGATAACATTTTAAATATACACTTATTCTATTAATTATAAATACATTAATAAGATCATAAGGAAGTGAGTCATTTTATATAACAATTACATAATATTTAACTTTGACGATATTTGCTTTTAATTTTATTGCTGCTACATTTTTAGTTTGTTTAGAAAAAGAATTCCCAAAATTGGAATATTTCCTAATTTATACTGTAAATATATTTGTATTTGTTATTCTATTGGTTTATTCACTAAATTACTATTTAACTATAAAAGAAACTGATCCTACTCTTCATTTATACATTAAAGCCTATATGTTAATATTATTATAAAAGG